ATCCCTTTGAACCATCTTGGGCTGCAGTTGGTCAGATGAATTTTCACTGCCTTACCTCTTTCCTCCCTCTCACCCATTCATCCTTCCTGTTTTCTTTGGTATATGTGTGTGCACATCCACGCACACTACTTGGGGATGGAAGTCAGGGCCTTTGCACTGAACTACATCTCCAGTCTTTTACTTTTGTGGGGTTTTGTTTTTTTTTTGTACTGGGGATTGAACTCGGGACCTTGCGCTTGCAAGGCAGGCGGCGGAACCACTGAGCTAAATCCCCAGGCCTTACTTTTGATTTTGAAACAGTGTCTCTGAGTTGCTGAGTTGCCCAAGCTGGACCTGAACTTGTGATCTTCCTGCCTCAGCCTCCCTCAGTGCTGGAATGACAGGCCTGTACCGCTGCACCTGCCTTATACCATTTGAAAACGTAGGAAGGCTATTCCCATGATCATAGAAGCAGTGTTTACAATAAGCTTCAAAGTGAAAGCAATCCAAGTATCCATGATTAATTAACTACTATCTTAAATGTGGTCATTCGTAGGCTGCAATATGGTTACAAAGGAAGGAAACCCTGACACTGCTACAGAGAAGGCAGACCTTGAGGCCATGCTGCTCAGAGAACTGAATCAGACCCAAAAGGACAGGCACTGCAGGGCACTACTCCCAGAACGGCCCTAGCCATCCTCCTGCCTCAGTCTCCTCAGTAGCCAGCATTACAGGTGCATGCCCCATGCCTGGCCAGACTGTGGTCCTTTAGAAGTGTCAGATGACACCTATGTTCCCATGAGCCTTCTATTACAGAGTCCCAGGAGACCAGCCTGTCTGGCCTGACTGGCCCCACCAGACAAAGGGCTTTGTCTCATGCGGCCACTCTGACAAGTGACTGGCGTGCTGCTCCTCAGTCTGTTGGCGGCTGGACTGACAGAGGACATTTGGTGGACAGTGGGCAGTCGTGCCCCATCTGAGCTGTCCGTTGGCCTCAGCCAACGGCCAGCTCAGCCCCCGGAGCCACAGGACACCCCTGTGCCATGAGCCTCCTGGGACCTTGCCATGGGGTATTGGCCAGCCTTATGCCCATCACATGCCAGGGTCAGCACAGGGCAACTGCCGGTGCCTGGCTAAAAGCAGAAGTTTCCAGCAAGGTGGTGAATCAGCTCGAGGGACCCAGCTGAGGACTTAAGAGTGACCCGGGCTGACTCTGTGTCCTCTGCCTTCCTGGGGATGGCGGCTCAGCCTGGTCCTGTGCTCCACGAACAGGTAGACTTCCAAGGCCCAGCCGTGGAGTGACAGGATCCGGGAGTCCCTGGAGCATCCCTATCCCTGGCCGAGTCGGACATGGTGACTTTTGTCAGCTGCGTTTGTTTTCCACCCACTGACTCTGGCTTGGAAAGGAGGGCAGTGGCCCCAGAAATATCTAGGAATATGGCCACGCCCCTGGGGTGGCTGCCAGGGAGGGCACCAGAAGGTCAGCCTGATACAGGGTAAACACGGCTGCACACACGGACGCTGGACACACAGTGAGCCTGGCGGCAGGAGGCGGGCACAGTGAGAGGTGGGAGTGGCCCAGGGTCCAGAGAGTAAGGACAGACCCTCAGGGTGCCTGTCCCCATGTGGGAAAGGTAACCTACCATAAGAAGTGAGGCTGTGATACTCACCACAGCGTGGATAGACCTTGAGGACGTGGTGCTCAGTGAGAGACACCAGACATAGAAGGACACCTAACATGGGCTCTGTGGATAGGAAATGCCCAGGACAGGTGAATCAAGGGACAGGAGGTGGCCTTGTTGGTAACAGGGGCTGGGGAGAGAATAGGTGACTACTTGTAGTGATGTACGGGGGTTCCTTTTGAGGTGACAGAATGTTCTGGGGTTTTTTGAGACAGGATCTCACTATGCAATGCAGGCTGGCCTTATACTCACTATGTAGCCCAGACTGCCCTTGAACTCCCAGCCATCCTCCTGCCTCAGCCTCCCAAGTACTGGAATAACAGGTGTGTGCCACCCCACCTCATTACTGGAATGTTCTGAAAGTAGATAGAAGTAGTTGTTGAGCACTATAGCAAATACAGGAAGAAGGAATGAATTTGTGTATCGGATGGATGAATGGATGAGTAGGTGGCTGGATGGCTAGATGGGTAGCTGGAATGCTGTGCGAACTGGACTTCAACAAAGACATTCCAGCAACAAGCCCCAGCCCTGACATGGCACATGATGGTGCCCAGGTGACCCAAGCAAGCTGGCAGTGCCCGGTGGGCATCAGTGAGCCTGCGTGCTGATGGCTGTGCCTGGACCCAACTCAACAATCCTGACCTCGTGTTGCCAGTCTGTGACAGAGGAGGGGACACCACCACCACCACCCTGTGCCCAAGGGAGTCAGTCACAGGGCCTGCTGCTGTGGGAGGAGCAGGATGGGGAGTGTGACACGCAGAAACATCCTGCTGCCTCGTAAGGAAGAATGCTGTGCTGATGGTGATGGTGCATAGGCTCAAGGGGCAAAGCCCAGGTCAGAGCAGGAGGGTTTGTTTTTTCTTTCATTTTTGCCATACAGGGGATTGAACCCAGGGCCTTCTCTCTAAGCTCTATCCCTAGCCCTTTTTATTATTTAAGAACAGGTCTTGCTAAGTTGCTAAGTTGCCCAAGCTGGGCTGAAACTTGTGATCCTCCTGCCTCAGCCTTCCAGACTGCTGGGATGACAGACATGCACTACCGTGCTTGGCTTCATATGCAGGGAGACCATGTCTCTGAGTGCATGCTGGGCAACATCTGGATGGCATGCACAGACTCTTGGGGGTCCATGGTACCCTCTAATCAGGGAGTCTCAACCAGCAGTGATCCTGCCCCAGGGGAGACTGGGTGATGTCTGGGGACATTTGTGGCTGTCATGGTGGGGGTAGGGGGTGCTCCTGACATGGCATAGGTGGAGGCCAGGAATGGTGCTCAGCATCCTGAGGTGACTAGGGTGCCTGCCCCAGAGGATGACCCGTAGTGCCCACAGTCCCCGGGGGGTGGGGAAGAAGAGACCCTGCTGGAGGAGGAAACATCAAGAATGTTTCAGAAAGTTGGGTACCATGGCGCACACCTGTCATCCCAGCTACTAGGAAGCTGAGGCAGGAAGTTCTCAAGTTTGAGCCCAGCCTGGGCAAGTTAGCAAGATTCTGTCCCAAAGTAAAATAAAAAGGTCTGGGGATGTAGCTCAGGGATGAATGCCTGTCTGGCATGCATGGACCCCTGGGTTCTGTTGCCAGACCTGCAATAATAATAACACAGCTGGGTGTGGTGGTACATGTCTATAATCTCAGCACTTGGGAGGCTGAGGCAGGAGGAGCGCCAAGATTTCAAGGCCAGCCTGGGCTATATAGTGAATTCAAGGCCAGCCTGGACTATATAGCGAGATCCTGTCTCAAAAAATAAACAAGTGGGGCCAAGGATTTAGCTCAGTGGTTCCACCGCCTGCCTTGCAAGCGCAAGGTCCCAAGTTCGATCCTGGGTACCAAAAAATAAACAAACAAAGCTAAGAGAGGACATATGGGTCATTTCCCATTGCTCCCTGCTGGCTGACTCCTTACACAGCAGTAGCTCGCTAATGCAGACAGCTAGCATAGTCACCTACTGCAGTCATGGAAAGTGTCTATGGGGGACAGGCACACGCCATCTCCATCCAGACGTGGGAAGCCTTCTTCTTGCGCCTACTCTGCTAACCTTAAAGCCAGGACTCTGCCCCTTCCCTCCACAGCTGCCTCCCTGCAGGAACACTGGACACTGGGAACAGGAGGCTCGGAGGCATCCGGTGACTCTGCTGAGAGGAATCTGCCTCGCTCCCTTCCCGGGGCTGTGCACCCTCTAGGGGCGGGGAGCTGCAGCGCAGGGCCCAAAGGGTACGGGGCGGGGGGGGGGGGCCCTTGGCTCAGCCTACAGGGTCCACAGTACCGGCTATGACAGCAACGCAAAGGACCACCGCGTCAGAGCTGAACACCATGGCAGCCCAAGGGCCATGGCATTGTACATTGAAAGGGATCCCAAGATGGTCTGCATATCCCCACATTTTTCACATGTAAAATAAACAAAAATAAAACAAAATAAAAGAACCAGGTAAGGTTGCCCAGGCCTCTCATCGCAGCACTCTGGGAGGCTGAGGCAGGGAAGCTGCAGAGCAGGGCAGGGCTCTGGTGGAACAGTCTGCCCCTCTTTACTCTCAATTTTTTTTTTTTTTTTGGTACTGGGGATCAAACTCAGGTCCTTTGGGTTGCGAAGCAGGCAGTGGAACCACTGAGCTAAATCTCTGGCCCTATTTTTTTTTAAGGCAGGGTCTCAATATGTAGTCCAGGCTGGGGAACTCACTATGTAGTCCAGGCTGGCCTTGAACTTGCAGTGATCCTCCTGCCTCAGCCTCTTGAGTCCTGGTATTACAGATGTGCATCTGCAATGTGTTCTTTGCACTTGCTTAAACGTTCCGTTTCCTTTTCTTTTACAAAGTAAACAAGGTCCAGAGTGAAAGTGACATTGGTAGGAGCTGAAGGTGAATCAGGTCACATAAAAATTAGAAACCCAGCCAGGAATGGTGGCATACGCCTGTCATCCCAGCACTCAGGAGGCTGAGGCAGGAGGACTGCTGTGAGTTCAAGGCCAGCCTGGGCTACATAGTGAAATTCTGTCTCAAAAAAACAAAACAGACAGTGAGAGAGAGAAACCCAGGTGGGCCCTCTTTGTACCAGCTGGGGATGGAACCCAGGGCCTTTGCCTGAGCTCCATCCTCAGCCCTTTTTATTTTGAGACAGGATCTCACTAAGTCACTAAGTCATTCAAGTTGAGCTAGAAGGTGGTGATCTTTCTGGGTCAGCCTCTAGGAGTGCTGGGATTACCGCTGTGCACCTCCGCGGCCCCCATTACCCTTTTTCCTAGACGCTTTTGTCCTAACTGCCCTGACTTCCCCCGATGCTTCCCCGCAGCTCACTACCCCTGCACCTTGGTGGTGCCCCACCAAGGGAAGTGCGAATGACAGCCAGCAGCCCTGGTATCAAAATGACAGTTTATTCTCATGTTCACGTTGGGGTTGGGGGCAAGATGGGCAAGATGGAGCGAGGGCAGTGAGGACAGGGATGGGGGCGGCACCTCTGCCCCAGGCAGGCCCATAGGCTGCTGGGACGTCGACATCCAGGAGACACAGCCAGGCCACTGTGTCGGGCTTCAAGAGTCCTGGGGCTCTGAGTGCTGCCTGGTGGTCTCTAGGGGGACCAAGGATGAGTCCCCAGAGCTTGGTGCTCAGTGGTGACACTGTGTTAATTGCACTTGTTCAGCTGCAAGCACCCCAGGCACCAGAATTATGCATGGTTGGGTACAGCGCTTGGGGACAGGGAAGGGCTGCTGGGGTCACAGGCCACTGACAACTCTGGTGGGGTGCAGCTAGGGCAGGCGTGGCTCCCTTTGGGCCCCACACTCACAGTCCTCAAAGGTGAGGGGGAGGTTGGGGTCAGGTCCTGTGGCCCAGCAGGGGCCACACACAGTGATTATCTTGTTTGCTTGTTTTTATGGTACTGGGGATGAAACCCAGGGCCTCTGCACTGAGCTACATCCCCAGCCCTTTTAAAATTTTGAGACAGGGTCCTGGTAAGTTGCTGCATTGCCCAGGCTGTGGTCCAACCTGTGAACCTTTTGGCTCACCCTCCCAGAGTGCTAGGATGACAGGCAGGCACCACCATGCCCAGCTTACAAATGGTTTTTGCCAGAAGGTTCTCAGGCACCCAGGCTGGACCAATTCCTGGCATGGGTGGATGAGGGAGTCGGCCACAGGGGAATTCATTCCTGGGCACCCTGTGATGGAGGGGAAAAACTCCAGAGAAGGCAGGCTCACTGTTTACTGGTTAAAAAACAATTTTTTTTTTTGGTACAGGGGATCGAACTTGGGACCTTGCACTTGTGAGGCAGGTGCCAGAACCACTGAGCTAAGTCCCCGGCCCCAACAATTTTTTTTTTGAGACAGGGTCTGTCTATGTAGCCCAGGCTGGCCTTGAACTTCAGGTGATCCTCCTGCCTCAGCCTCCTAAGTGCTAGAATTACAGGCATAAGCCACTATGGCTGGTTTAAAAATATCTTTTTTTTTGGTACCAGAGATCGAACCTTGAGCTTGCGCAGCAGGCGGCAAAACCGCTGAGCTAAATCCCTGGTCCCTAAAAACATCTTTAAGAACATGTCAAGATGCTTGTAAATGAGGCTATCTACAAATTGAATCACTTAGACACATGTGGCTGAGGCAGGATGACCACACTAGGCCGAGCCCACTGTTCTGGGGCAGCTGAAGGGAGGGACACGGGGGTGATGCAGGCCCTGAGGGGTCCAGTAGTACCTCTTTGGAAATGGGCTGGTAGGGGCCGGGATGAGGACAAGGAGCCGGTGGGGCGGGACGTCTTCAGAGGGGGACCTGAGGGGGGCAGGCGGCGGGCCCTCCCAGACACAGTGGGTTTCCCGGTTGCTGAGGACACTTGGTCCCAGAGTTCAAGTCCTGCTTCCGCCTGGGCAGATGGAAGGCTGAGGCTCATGGAGGCAACTTGTGGCCACAGAGGGAGGAATCCATGGTCCCAGCTTCTGAGGGCCTTGTGCAGCCAGTCAGAGAGGGACACAAAGTCCTCATGACACTCAGCTGCAGGACGAAGCTGACAGTCTCAAAGACACCCTCCCGTGAGTCTCTGAGGCTGGCCGGGCCTTAGAGACACATCCGAGCAGTCATTTCTTTCTGTTAAGAGTGAACAGGAGTCAGGGATTTAGCTCAGTGGTGCCACCGCCTGCCTCGCAAGCGCAAGGTCCTGAGTTCGATCCCCCGTACCAAAAAAAAAAAAATAGTGAACAGGACATGGACACAGACACACAGGAGGCCACATGGTAAACACATGGGAAGCCAGGCGTGTGGAGGCTGAGGGAGGAGGATCACTGTGATTTTGAGACTAGCCTGGGCTAGAAACCAAGACCCTGTCTCAAACACAACCACAACAACAAATGGAAAAGCTGCTCCTCACATCCCGCTGGGTGGGGCTGGGGCACTGGGGACCCTGGTCAGGAGGCACTGCAGGTCTGGGAAAGCGGGCAGGGCCACTGGAGGGAGCTGCACTAGGAGCTCTGCAGTCTCTGGTCTGTCCTGGAATGCAGGGACCCACACCTCGGGGCCCTGGTGATGGTGCTCGGAGCCACAGGGAACTCAGAGAAGTGGGGTCAGTGTGGCAGCCCCAGGCTTTGGGGCTTCTGCCTTCTGACGGGGTGTGGAGGCAGCAGGGTGCGATGGCAACTATGGGCGCCAGAGCCTGGGCAGGGAAGCTGGTCAGGCACCCTGTGCATGCTGGGCACGCACAATGCCCACCAGAGTGGGAGCGAGAGCCCCGGGGGTACCAGGCCCCGACACCCCTGTAAGATTTTTTTCTTGTTTTTAAACTGTACTGAGGGCTGAACCCAGGGCCTTCACACTGAGCTGCATCCCCAGCCCTTCTATTTTTCATTTTGAGACAGGGTCTTGCTAAGTCACCAATTTGCCCAGGCTGGGGACAAACTTGTGATCCTCCTGCCTCAGCCTCCCAGAGTGCTGGGATGATGTCAGGTGTGTGCTTGGGGGCATCTGAACCTCTCTCTGAGCTCAGCGCCATGCGGGGCAAAGGAGCCGGAACTGGGGACTGTGCTGAGGCACCCAGGGCCTGGGCTGGTCCCTAGGCTGCTATGAGGAGGCCTCAGGCTTCAGGCTGTGTCTGCCCCTCCCCACTCCCTCCCCGCTCACCAGAGGCTCCAGCTCCTTGGTGTCAATGAGGCCGAACTCCGTGACAAAGTAGTAGAAGTGCTTGTAGCAGGTGTTCACGTGCGCCTCGGAGCCCATCTGTGCGATGCAGTCAAAGTGGTGGATGTAGACGTGTACGAAGACACGGAAGAGGCGCGACATGATCTTTCGCACAGCCTGCAGGAAGTTCTTGGGGAACGGGGTGCCTGGAGAAGGCAGAGGGGGGGAATGGGGGGGACCACAGAGGCCAGCTCTGCCTGAGACCCCTAGCTTCAGCCAGAGCAGGTCTACCCTTCAGGCCTTGCTCTACCTTTAAATCACAGATGTGTGAGCTAATGAGGCTCAGAGAAGTTAAGACACTTGCCCAAGGTCACACAGCCCACACCCCAGTCACTGGGCAAGATTTCCTCAAAGCACCTTACCCTGCTTTTCCTGCCCTGTGCCCCCTCCTGCAGCTCCCACAGGAGCCTCGGTCTCCCCACCACAGCTTCCTTTCCTGCTCATCCCAGAGTTCTCTGTACAGACATCCCAGGGCACTGACTATAGGAGTTCATGTGTCTCTCTCCCTGGGTTGCAGGGGTCCCTCAATCCGGCCAGTGGGGAACAGAGACTGATGAGCCGAGGGCTGTGGGTGCCACCAGGAGCACACGGGGACCCAGGTTCTCCCTGGAGTCCTGAGAGGAAGCAGCCCTGCTGCCCTAGTCGGCCTTGGACCCCATGACAACAAGGTGACTGAGGTGTGCGGCTCGGCCCTTGGAGACTCACACAGGGACTCCCGTGATGCGTGCATGCTAACCCCAAAGTATAGGATGGGGAGCAGGGGCCACACTGAGGGCCCAGACGCAGCCTGACCACAGCCTGTAGGGAGACATGACCAGCATGCTGCCCATCTTTCCCCTTGTATCATGGTCTTGCTTCGTAGCCCATGATGGCCTCAAACTTATGATTTTCCTGCCTTGGGCTCCCGAGTGCTGGGATTACAGGCATGTGCCACCATGCCTGGCTGAATGGCACACTTGAAAAGGGTGAATGAAACTGGGGACAGTGGCACATACCTCTCACAGCAGCACTCTTGGAGGCTGAGACAGGAGGATCTAGAGTTCAAGCCTAGCCTGGCAACTTAGCAAGACCCTGTTCTCAAAATATAAAACCAGAAGGGCGGGGGTGCAGCTCAATGCAAAGGCTCTGGGTTCAGTCCCCAGTACCACAAGGAATAAAGGGCATGTGTGTATGAATGATATGATATAGGAATTATAGCTCAACAAAACCATTATTTCGAAAACCAGAAAGCAGAGCTAAGACTCATTGGGGCCTTTCTTTTGTTGTTGTTGCTGTTTTTTTGAGAGGGTCTGGCAATGTAGTCCAGGCTGGCCTCGAATTCACCGCGACCCTCCTGTCTCAGCCTCCCGAGTGTGGGGAAGACAGGCGGGTGCCCCAGCACAGAGGAGCCCACAGCCCCAGCCCACCCATGGCTCACCAACATTGGTGGGGAAGATGTCCTCATTGTTGATCTGGACTTCCACCCAGTCCATGAGCAGGTCCAGGTAGCGCGGGGCGGACAGCGCCGTGGGCTTGCGGAACCGGTGCTCATCCTGCCAGCGGTACTCGTACTTGGGGCCCCCGGACATGATGGGACATGAGTGCTCGGTGCAGCCATCGCTCACCGTGCCATAGATGAGGTTGAGGCGGTTGAAGAAGTCCACCACGTGCACGGCCACCCAGTCATTGAGCTCCTCGCCTGGTGGCAGCTGCACGGCCTGTCGCAGGTCCAGCCCCGCGTGGAGCGACGCCTGCGCCCGCTTGTGCAACTCGAAGCGCTGCGTGCCCGGCTCGAACTTGCGCTTGGGCCGGAAGGTCTTGTCCTTGTTGAAGACCTGTTTCAGGAACGGGCTGGACATCTTGGGGCTGGGGCTGCGCGGGGCCGCTTCCTGGAGGAGGTCAGGTGCCTAGAGGACCTGGCCAAGCTCCCGGCTCCTCCCTGTGCTCTGAAATTCAGAGAGGCACAATTTAGGGCCTGCGTGTGGCTGGAGCCCACCTGCCATTCCCCCTCCCTCTAGCTGTCCTGCACTGGGGGTGGAACCCAGGGCCTTCACACTGAGGGACAGCAGTGGGCTGATGGCGCCTGCAGAGATGATACGCACATCCGGACCCCTGGAACCTCTGGGTGGGACCTTATATGAAAAAGGGCCTTTGGGGATGCAAGGAAGTTAATGGTCTGGAGATGAGGTCATCTTGGACTCCCTGGGGGGCATTAAGTCCAATGGCCAGTGTCCTAGGGAGAGACAGAAGCCGGGCATGGTGGCACACACCTGTCATCCCAGCACTCAGGAGGCTGTGGCAGGAGGATTGCAAATTCAAGCCCAACTTGGGCAATTTAGAAATTTAGCAAGACCTCGTCTCAAAACGAAAAATAAAAGGGACGGGGAGAGAGCTCAGTGTGAAGGCCCTCAGTTCAATCCCCAGTGCTAAAATAATAAAAATTAGAAAAAAGTTTAGGACATAGCTCAGCATTGCCAGAATGGAAAAAAAAAGACAAGAAAGACTAGCTGTCCTTGGAAGAGTCAGAAGAAGCCGGGCATGGTGACACATGCATATGATCCCAGCACTCAGGAGGCTGAGGCAGGAGGATTGCTGTGAGTTTGAGGCCAGCCTGGGCTACTTAGTGAGTTCAAGGATAGCTTAGAATATACAGCAAGGGGGCCGGGGATTTAGCTCAGTGATTCTGTCACCTGCTGCACAAGCGCAAGGACCCGAGTTCAATCCCTGGTACCAAAAAAAAAAAAAAAA